CAAAACCTAATAAAATTTTAAAAATAACGTCTGAAATTACCCTTATAACCAACTAGGCGATAGACATATTTGGAGGCAGGCATCTAGTAGTTTAACCATTATATTACATATGATTTTCGTTATTTCTCTCACCAGATGCTACCAATCTGCCTTCCATGCACTGGATTTTAAATACCTTTGCTCTGTTTTTAACATAGATACTCTATTAACTGTAGAAAATCTGAAATGTTTTTTTGTAATATGTTAGTTTATATATATATATATAGTGCAGAATTTAATGAATATTGTCTAGTAACATGAAATACAAAATATAAAATATGTTACTGAAACAGAATGTACTATGTTCTGTATTAATAATACGTATTATATATTATTTTGTACTTTGAGGGGATTTCGTTCATCTCATTCCTTCATTTTATAAGAAAAATGTATGCTTATTCTCTATTCTCTATCTATTTAGATGGCCGAGGATCACAAGTAGGATCACAAGTGTGGCCCCTAAGTGATGAACACCTGAGGGTTCAAAGGTGCCGAGTGGTTGAACTAGGTATTGCAGTCCAAATTCTAAATATTGGAGAGGGTTTTTTTCACCCGGTCCCTCCTCCTCAGACTTGACGCACACGCAGGTTGCCAGATTGATTACACCAACAGGAACGAGCACACTTGACAATGAATGAAATGAAATACGCTGTGTTTTCCACTAACTGGCAACCCGGGCTGCCGAAACACAATTGGGTAAACTGGCAGTGGGCGGGTTTCACAAACCAAAACAGAGACGGACATTCCCGCCCGGAACGCACATTTTCAAAGGAGAATAACAGACTAGCATTGTTTTTCAGATAAACAAGTATGTTAACTTAGCATGTTTCTTAAATATCTGCAAACATATTATGGTATTTTTATGCTTTAGTAGAGTCAAAAACTTACATACAGCACCTTTAATTTCTGAACAAATGCCTTCAGTCACCTTTGAAGGCGATCCCAGCGTTGTTGATGAGCACGTCCAGGCCGTCGTACTTCTCCGTGAAGAAGTCCCGTGCTGGACGCTGATGTCCAGCTGATGGAAGAGCGCTGTCAGCCCCTCCTTCTTCAGACTTTCCACTGCTGCGGTTCCTCGACCGACATCCCGGGCTGTCAGGTACACGTCCCCGGAGTACTCTTTGCACAGTGACCGCACTACTGCAAACCAAATGCCTTTATTTGCACCAGTGACCAGAGCTACTTTGCTGCTGCTCAGAGCTGCAATGTGTCTGAAAATAAGACCATATTCAGTGACACAACGGATACAGCAGCCTAATTATTCAAATAACGAAATTAAAAGCTTTTGGGAAGCGTATGCATGATTCAACGAAAACTCGTACCTGCTCTAACGTACTCCGCGGTGATCAATTCACTTTTGTTTTTGGCAGTTTTTGGTTTGCGTCGCTACTTACTGCGCATGCGCGGAGAAATACGCTTGCATAAAGCATTACATTGTCTATGTCATGTGCGTCGTGTTTTGCTTGCTGACACAGCAACAGTTATGAGATGTAAATCTTTTTTTTACGTAAATATTTTTATATAATTTTCTATAAGTACTGCGATTGGTTCGAAGACAATGACGCAACGACGATTGAAGCACGTGACCCGGCTGTGTTTTTGACCATGTGGATGTGTATCATTTCTAACTGCTGTACAGAATGACATTACACCCGCAGTGAGCTTTAGGTAGCGCTGTTATATGGACACTTTAAGATGAAGAAACCTGGCTGCCATGCTGGGAGAAGAGCTAGGGAAAAAAGACGCAAAAAACACGAGGATGTCTCCAAAGGTATTCAGTTTCCATGCTGAGATATTGTAACTTTGTAGTATAGTGTGTGATGTCTGAATTGTGTTTGTATTTTGCTCCTGTAGTGACCCTGACTCACGAAGCTCAGTTTGTTCTTTTGAGGAGATGGCTGAAAGAAAAAGGATTCGCCTCACAGTCTCTCATCCCTGTCAACTTCCATGGCAAGTAGATAGCATCCAAGGTAGATTGCTTGTATAGTAAATTTCCACACTTAGTTATGTTACTAACTATGTTTGTTCCCCTTAGATACTGGAAGGGGGCTTATGGCAACTCAAACTATCAAGGTAATTATTTGTATATATTTGTGTGTGTATGCATGCATATACATATATATGTAGGCTACTTGGGTTCAAAAATCTGAAACCACATTGATAATATAAAAATATACTGATCTGTTACCTTTGCAGGCCAAAGACAGTGTTATTTCCTTGCCTGAGAAATGCTTACTGACCACCAGGACAGTTCTGAAGAGTTACATGGGTGACTATATAAAAAGGTATTTGGGCTGATTGTTATATTATATTACATTATATTTTAAAAATCAATCCATTTTTAGTATTATATATATATAGAGACTTTTGTGCTAATAGATGTTTGAAATGGACCATGAGGTCTGAATAAAGTCAGTTTGGTTTCTCTCTTTCTTCCTGTAGATGGCATCCTCCCGTATCTCCTCTTCTGGCTCTTTGTTGTTTCCTCATTTCTGAGAGATATCGTGGAGATGCATCAGAGTGGAGTTCTTACATTAATATCCTCCCAAAGACGTACACATGCCCTGTGTACTTCTCTGATGACATCATTGACCTTTTGCCTAGGAGCCTCCAGAAGAAAGCCACAGAGCAGAAAGAACAGTTTCAGGAACTCTACTGCTCTTTCCTGATGTTTTTCCACTCCCTCCAGCCACTCTTCACCCAGCCCACAGAGGAGCTGTTTACCCAGGATGCACTGCGGTGGGCTTGGTGCAGCGTTAACATGCGTACCGTGTACATGGAGCATGATCAGAGTGACTATCTCTCCAGGGAGAAGGATGTGTATGCGCTTGCACCATACCTTGACCTGCTGAACCACTGTCCTAATGTCCAAGTAAGAGCACCTAACATAAATACACTACTGTTTGAGGTCTGTAAGATTTCTTGTTTTTGAAAGGAGTCTCTTATGTTCACCAAGGCTGCATTTATTTGATCAAATTACAGTAAAAACAGTCATACTGTGAAATATTATTACAATTTAGAATAACCTAAAATCTATTAAAAAAAAGTGTGACGTGTGGCCAAGTATGGTGACCCATACTCGGAATTAGTGCTCTGCATTTATCCTTATTTGAATGTAATTCAAAATGTAATTTATTCCTGTGATCAAAGCTGAATTTTCAGGATCATTACTCCAGTCTTCAGCGTCACATGATGCTTCAGAAATCATTCTGATATGCTGATTTGGTGCTAATATGCTGATCAATGTTAAAAACAGTTTTAATGTGTAATATTTTTGTGTAAATCATGATACATTTCAGGGTTCTTTGAATATAACATTTAAATTTAAAACATTTGAATATAACATTTAAATTGATTTGAAATAGAAATCTTTTGAATAGATGGAAATATTTAACATTATAAATGTCTTTACTGTCACTTTTGATCAATTTAATGCAACTTTGTTGAGTAAAAGTATTATTTTCTTTAAAAAAAAAAAAAAACTGACCCCAGACTTTTAAGCAGTAGTGTACTTTCTTACAAAACAATAAAGTTGCACAGTTATAAGTAAAGAAAATAAACTTTTCTTGGTGTGCAGGTTGAAGCTGGCTTCAACAAAGAAACTTGCTGTTACGAGGTTAAAAGTGTCCAAGGCTGTAAGAAGTTTCAGCAAGCGTTCATCAATTATGGCCCTCATGATAATCACAGACTTCTTCTGGAATATGGCTTTGTTGCCCCTGACAACCCCCACAGTGTAGTATATGTTGATTTAGGTAAGGAAAATACATACAATTATTAAATATTCTACATGTAAATATTAAATACTATGGAACTGCTTTGATCGGTTTGTTGTTATTGTAGGAACTCTAAAATTGTGTCTAGATGAACAAGACAAACAGCTAACACAAAAACTACTCTACCTAAGGGACAATGATTTTTTAAGGTAAGTTAAATTCATGATCACAAGGACATTTAGCAGTTCTTATAAATTCTGTAGTACGTTGTGCCAGCAACTTCATGGCCAGTTTTTACAATGCAGTAATGGTTTAGTACAGCAAATCAAGTTTCATATGGTTTCACTCTTCAACAGGAACTTGACGTTTGGGATGGATGGCCCTTCCTGGCGACTGATGACTGCACTGAGACAGCTGTCCTTGAAACCTGAGCAATAGTGAGAAGTTGACATCCTAAACGCATTATTTGCATGCGTGTTAATGCAAAATACATGTCATTGTTATTGCTTTTACTTGCATATAGTTTATTTTATGCTATTTATTTGAATATATTCAAAACTGATTTTAATGCTGTTGTCTGTAGTACTTGTTGGAAGAGTGTCCTCTTGGGGGCAGGAGTGAGCCGGGATAGAGAAGAGTGGTGCATTCACAATGCCCTAAAGCTTTGCAATAACCTCACCGATGACAATGTCAAAGCACTAGAGAGGGTGAGTCTAATTAAATCTGTTCATTCTTAATGCTGCCTGTGTCTAATTAAAGATATGAAACCACTTACAGTCTGAGTCTTTTCATTTGTACAGCTATCGCAGCTCAAACAGGGTGCGAACCTGTCTCTCCTTGAACAACTGTGTGTGGTGGAGAGCCTGAGACAAGAGGAGCAAAGGATTCTGGAACACACACGAGTGGCTCTTCAAAACCTCTGGGGACAATAGTCACTGTGGTAACAGTAGGGCATTCCGAACACTGAGGAACCAGAAGCCTCATGCTGTCACTGCCAAGATTTAGACACAAGCCAAGAGCCAGCAGATATGCTTAAGCTTTGTACTACAGCCCTTAACACAACCACCTTAAAAACTACAGGGAGTCCAAATTACTTAAAAGAATAGTTCACCCAAATCCGAAAATTCTGGCATTTAATCACCCTCATGTTGTTCCAAACATGTATGACTGTTTCTTCTGTGGAACACAAAAGACATTTTGAAGAATGTTCATGCTGTTCTTTTCAATCAGTGTTATTGTTAACTAAAACTGTTCAAAATCATTTTCATTTATTTGAAATAAAGCTTAAATAAATAAATATTAGATGGAAAAACTTACAGGGACACACGTAGCACCAAACCTGCCCCTAACCTTACCCATATCCCCTCTCAATAGCATGAACTTTTTATTAACATCTACTTTTGTGTTCCCTGAAATAATATCATACAGGTTTGGAACGACATGAGGGTGAGTAAATGATGACAGAATTGTCATTTTTAGGTGAACAATCTTTAGATATCCTTATATGCCCCACAGTGTGGGATTTCTGAGCTTCAACAATTTGTTTTTCTCCTAGAAAGCTGTGACAGTTTAAGAATGGTGGACAGGAAGATGAGGGGACATTTAAGACAATGAGATCTTAACAAACACTAATCTTCTATTGAAAGCAAATGAGCTACATGCTGTGTTTCTGGTAGGAGACTACTGATAATCAAATGCATACCTCTGAACAATGATGCCGAATTCTAGGTCAGCATTATCCAGTCATTTTCCATACAGAGCTGCCCATATTAATAGGCAAAAGAAATGGGATCAGATGGTGCTGTTAATAATCCATTGGGAATGCTTGACAAGGGAAAATCCCATATACAGTATGTCATAACTAGGCCAAAGTTTCTAAGAAAAATGTTTTTATGTAAATAATTTCAAAAGTTTATATATACACACACTTTTTTGTATAATGTAAATAGTTTTTGCTTTGTGATACATGCTTTTTGGAATGAGCCTGATTTCCAGTTAAAGAATTTTAATGTTTTTAAATACCAGCAATCCATTGAAAGTGCAATTGACAAAAACATGAGATTTATAACAACTAAAATTTACAGAATTATGGCAAAAATATTTTGAGCCCTCTTCAAAGCTTGACAGCTATTCTTTTCCTCGCTTGCTTTCTCTGTACCATCTCCATGGAGACCGTAGCTTCATATAAAGGCACAGGGTCCACCAATTGCGGCCTGCATGGAGACAGCGGTCAAATTCACACAACAAAGCTGATTTCACACTTTTTCTCTGCATTACAAACACGGCCCACATACATTCAGTTTTAAGTTCATAATTTGTGTAATTTCTCCTGTACAGACACATAATCTGTTTCTCCTTTCACACACTTGTTTATTCCTCATTCTCACCTGAAGGTCCCTGTGCAGAGTTTATCCATCACATCTTTCAGGATATCTGAGAGAGAGAGCAGACTAAAGGCGAATAACCCAGTTACAAACAGGAAACCACGTGTCCTTTATGTTGCTGACAAGGTCGTTCCAGTAGCCTAAGGACACTGGGAGAAAACCCTCAGGTCCCAAATACATCAAACTGTCATGGACTAGCCATATGCACACTCCGGAACCCAATGACCTCTTTGCAACATATAGCGATTTCAGAAAAATGGCTCTGATACCATCTAGTCAGATCTCCCTTCTTCATTCCACTTGAGAGTAAAGCCGTGTTTTGTGTAAAGAATAAGGATCAGCTCATCAGAGCCGTTTTCATGGGGTTATATTAAGACTTGCCTTCATGGCAAGTAATATACGAAAGCAAACGTACCTATAAGACACTTTAGATAAAAGCATCTGTCAAATACATAAATGTAAACGAAACTAGATTGAGCTGGAAACTTTGAGTAATTCATATTTTAAGGCCAATAAACAAAGCTGAGGCCCGAATGCTGACCAATCAGAAAGCAGTTAAAGATTAATGACGTTTGTAGTAAAAGATACGAAGATATCGGCCCTGCTTGGCCCGGGATGTTGTCCACACCTCGTCGTTAAGGAACAAGAGCGATGCTGCCTTCAGGAAGAGAATGTGGCTGTCAGGAGGGTCCAGCTTTGAAAAGAGGATAAAATTGATTGTATTAAATGTATAATGTAAAAGTGTAAAAATCAATGCTGTTAGTCAATATTTGATGTATAAAATGAAGACACATATAATGCTGATTGCTTAAGTATACAGGTGCATCTCAATAAATTAGAATGTCGTGGAAAAGTTCATTTATTTCAGTAATTCAACTCAAATTGTGAAACTCGTGTATTAAATAAATTCAATGCACACAGACTGAAGTCTTTGGTTCTTTTAATTGTGATGATTTTGGCTCACATTTAACAAAAACCCACCAACTCACTATCTCAACAAATTAGAATACTCCATAAGACCAATAAAAAAAAACATTTTTAATGAATTGTTGGCCTTCTGGAAAGTATGTTCATTTACTGTACATGTACTCAATAGTCATGTTTATGTGGGCAATGCCTCTGCGCTTCTGGCTTCTCCTCATAGAGTCTCACTGTTCAAAAAAAGGCTCAAAATCATAGACTGCTGATTGAAAATGAACATGAAATTGAAAATGAACATGTGCACTGCCGTTTGTGCAAATTTTTTGAAATAAGAATAATAGATTTATTCAGCAAGGTCTTTAGTTTTTTGACAGTATAAGACTTTTACATTGTTACAAAAAAAAAAAGTCAAATAAGTGCTGCACTTTGGATCTTTCTATTCATCAAAGAATCCTGAAAAAAAAAATCTATCACGGGTTTCCACAAAAATATTAATCAGCACAACTGTTTTTAACAAAATAATAAGAAGAAATGTTTCTTCAGCACCAAATCAGCATATTAAAACAATTTCTGAAGGATCATGTGACGCTGAAGACTAGAGTAATGGCTGCTGAAAATTCAGTTTCACGGGTTTCCACAAAAATATTAATCAGCACAACTGTTTTTAACAAAATAAGAAGAAATGTTTCTTCAGCACCAAATCAGCATATTAAAACAATTTCTGAAGGATCATGTGACACTGAAGATTGGAGTAATGGCTGCTGAAAATTCAGCTTTGTCATCACAGGAATGAATTGCATATTAAAATAGAAATAAAAATTAAAATAATATTTCACATTATTACTGTTTTTACTGTAGTTTGATCAAATAAATGCAGCATTGGCGAACATAAGAGACGTAGTTCAAAAACATTACAAATCTTACCAACCCCAAACGTTTTGAACAGAATATGTATTCCCAGCATTTATATAATAAATTAAATCTTGCAGCACAAATGCTTGTTGGACAGAAGGTAAATATTAAAGTAATTAATTAAAAGCACATATGAGAAGACTATGTTGAAATAGTTACAAATGTTATGTAAAGTGGTGGTAAACCTCCTGAATCAATGATGATGTCCACTCCAAGACCTCCGGTTTCTTCAAGGCACGAGTCCACCAAATCCTGCTTTGAGTCCCACACTCTGATCACTCGAGCTGAGGGAAGAGATACACTTAAGTACCGATGCTTACAAAAAAAATCAAATTAACATTGATTAAGCATTTCAAGCTGATGTATGCCGAATGACTATTCTCAAAGAATAGATTTGATTTGAGGCTTATGAGAATATGATGAACGAATACTTATAGAAGACATTGCTGCCATAAATAACTTACCCAAAAGTGATTCCTGCACACCTTGAGCATGTGCAAGTGGCACAAGGAAGAAAGATGATGAAGAAGAAAGTCAAATTGCAAAGAAAGACAAAAAGATGCTTAAGGGAGAAGTGAAAAGGAAGGACAAATATCTAGGACAAATGAAATCAGTTTTGATTTCCAGAGGAAAGGATGGGTTAGAAACTGGCAACAATCTCGGCCACAATCCAGACTTAAGTATTTCTACATTTGATTAGACTTGAATAGATTTTAGACTTCACAGTACATAAAATGATATGAGTGTGATGCTTTTCATATGCTCAGGAAATCCACATCAAGTACCGTAAATATGAGAGGTAAACTTGAAGAGCTAACAACTGAAGTTTAAAAGAGATTTGCTCCATTTGAATTGCCATTTAAGTTTGTCTGGCAACTCATGCCGAGTGTTTCATAAATCTACACTTCCAGTGAAAGCGCCAAGTCAAACCAAGCTTGAACTTTCTAAACTGACACTTCATGTGGAAAATATCTTCGCTGTCAGTCCTCTCTCTCCACAATGCTTCATTTCAGTACCCACCCACACTCGGCCGGAGCTCTTCCAAAAACTTCTGGTCCTCCGGAGACGATGCTGTAGCCAGGACTTTCACACCGTGATAGTGGGCGAGCTGAATGGCCAGAACTCCAAAGGGCTGCATGCACACAAAACAGGAAGTGCATGATAATGATTTGAGATTTCGAATGCAGGGAGCCAAATAATGCTTGTAGAAGTGCTGTGTTGATTCTAATATGAGAAGACAACTAAATAATAACAAATAACCACTTTCAAAATAACAGAATGACAAAATTGGCCAGTTTTAACATATATACGCTATCATTCAAAAGTTTGGGGTCACTAAGATTTTATTTTTGAAAGCTATTAATACTTTCATTCAGCAGGGATACATTAAATTGATCATAAGTGACAATAAAGATTTTCTTCTATTTCTTTTCAACTTTATTTAATTTGTTAAAAAACCTGAGAAAAAAAAACATCACAGTTTCCACATAAATATGAAGCAGCACAACTGTTTTCAACATTGATAATCAGAAATGTTTCTTGAGCAGCAAATCAGTATATCAGAATGATTTCTGAAGGATCATGTGACACTGAAGACTGAGGTAATGATGCTAAAAATTCAGCTTTGCATCACAGGGATAAATTACATTTTATATTTATATAAAAATCCAAAACAGTTGTAATAATATTTCACAATATTACTGTTTTTACTGTAAATTTCTGTAATAGTTTCTGTAATATTTTCTAAAAAGAAAAATAAATGCAACCTCGGTGAGCAACTAAAACATTTATTTAAAAAATAAATAAATACAAAATAATAATAAATTTTAAAAATCTTACCGACCCCAAACCTGAACAGTAGGGTATATGCTAATAGGACGTATCAGAAAAGTGTTGCCATTTTGACCTCTGCACAGATACCTACACCAGCCCCATCCAGCACCAGTACAGTCTGACCCGCAGCCATCCGAGCCAGAGTGTGGAGAGCAGTGTAAGCCCTGAGACCGTCTTTAATTACTGCTGCTGCTTCAACCCAGCTCACTTTCTCAGGCTTCTGAACTGTTATTAAAACATAAGCATATGAGAAATCAAAAGTAGTAGGTAGGACTATTGTCAATAATGTAATGCGAGCAATACCTAAATTATATTCATCAGTAACCACAATGGAGCAAAGGCCAGGCTGTTCAGCATCCAATGGAAGAATCCCTGAGAAGACATGCAAATGATTATTTGATTATACACATATAAAGCAGACTCTGATAAAAATGAGAGTCTAATAAAGTTCTTACCAACAACCTCATCATCTGGCTGGAAAAAGGTAACTTTGGGTCCAACTGGAAAAGGATATGCATCACATCAGATTTATCAGTCAAATTTATTTGATTAGATTTTAAATGGTAATGGTGTCAAATATACAACACGCCATGTAAACCTTGAAGAACAACCCCAGCGATCTCCCTTCCAACTGGGACATGTTCTTTCTCAAACTTGAGGTCCTCGTACAGCTGAAAAACAGATTAAGATGAATGCAAATATTCTGTATAAAAACAAAACGCTGTTTGTGAAATGAGGGTGATCTTTATCTAAATAATGTCCATCATGTATTGTAAACATGCTGTTCTGCAGGTCATTCGCATCAAATCGCCAGACGTTGTTCACCATCTTGTTGACAATTATATTACCTTAAAATCAACTGGACTTAGTGCACAGCTTTTCACTTGAACTTTGACCTGATGGCTGCCAAGGTTAGTGGGTACATTCTGTGACAGGAAACAAAGGACATCATGCAATTAGAAATAGCTTATTACAGATTTCTTCAGGAAACTGTGGATATGTAAATGCATGCAACAGAAAATGTAATGGCATAATCATGCACTCTTACTGTCTCCTGTAGGACAAACTTCACATCACCCTGGTCTCCTGGTTTGCAGTAAAGTCCCTTCATGGCAATTTTAGCTGTTCTGCAATCAGACGGATCAATACCCAATGAACGATTAACACAAGCAACAGCAACAAGCTGAATGAAATACTCTATTAACACCATCATTGTAATAATATGCAATACAGAACAATCTCTAAAGAAATTCACGTCATTTATTGTTTGCACTTAAACTGTGCAAGTTAAACAATGTAAGATCCCAATCATGCAGAATACACCATTGCATTCTAGCTGAGCTAACGTTACTTGTTTTCCGTTGCAATAGCCCTATCGCGTTTCTCTGTTTAAAACATCAAGATCGGTGTTATAATATCTTCTTCTGTTATGCTATATAATATATTTTTTGCATGTAAGAGTATTACAGAACCTACCAACATGTAGTTGACTGCGGTAGTGTTTTGTTCATTTCCTGCACGTGACTCAGTGACGTAGGTGGAGTAGAAATAAAAACGCAAAGAAGGGAAACGAGAACATCTCGCAGTACAATCCGTTTACTATTAGTATTACAGTACTAATTTACTTTAATAACTGAACTGTAGAAATATTACAAATAAAAATACTAAAAATATGTGTTCTACTTGATTGTATGTGTGGAAATGTGTTTCTTATTTCCATTGCACTAATCATAAATCTAAATCTACAAATGGTCTAACTGCATCTAAATGCATGTAAAATATAATACAAAAAAATATGTTGTAAATACATTAAAAATACATTAAACTACTGATTTCCTACTAGTGAATGATTTGTTGTGGGCCGCTTTGCGCCCCCTGCCTGTAGTAAACACTCAGACGCGGATGCCTGAATAACGTTCGCACGTTTCATTTTTCCCGTTTTTACTTCACTACCAGCGAAGCTGCAACGGAGGAAACGAGGAGCCAGAAGGAGCAACGAAACAAGCCTGGAATTTATCTCGCACATTAAAAAAGGAAAGAAGAGTCCTCCGTCTGTCATCCCATGCTCCTGTAGTGTATTCCCTCACAGAGTGTTGGAGATATCATGGAAACTGAATGATGAGGTAAGAGTGTTTGGGTCTCGGGCCGATTGTCCTTTTTTTGACAGTGACTGCGGCCGCTGCTCGAGCGACTAATTTCGGGGCGCGCTTCGTGCCAATTTACCAGTATACTCGCTCTCGCCAGGCAACTGTCATTTCAACGGTCTTTTCGGCTCGGAAAACTGGAATAATATCCTCCTCTAGTCTTTTATTCGTAAAAGGAGGCCTCTGTAAGCTCTCATTCCACGCAGAGATTGCAGCTAAAGCTCAGCTCTGATTTACTGGTTTAGTTAGCACTCCGGCTAACGGTTGTTGGTGTGTTATTATCAGCTCGAAAACTGGATTTCTGCGACAAAACTCACGGATACAGAGGACTATTTGGACCTTGAGAGTGCTGAGGTAATGTGTGTTACATGTAGGGTGTAGTAACAGTGAGTTAGCCAGCTGTGTGATGGGATGCAGATGAAGATACCCTGATGGGGGCATTTTTTTTACCAGCTTCTCCAGCTCATCTCCACACATGGCTGCAGGTCTTTACATAAGGATTTTCACATGCCTATCTATGCTTTCCTTTTCTTCTCCAGTGCAGTCAATACACATGTGTGCGCATGCTGGCCTGGAGAAACAGAGGTTATTATCCTGTGATTATGTCTGAAGGAAGGTGATTAAGGCTCAGATCCTGTAGTGCAGTCTGGCTGTGGATTTGGGTTGCTTTGTCTTAAAGCCACTATCATGTGTAGTATGTAAACACTGTCAGATTGGAAGGTGGTTTACCAGATCTTATGAGCAATGCAGCTGGAGCCATTTGGCCTGGGTCAGTCTGGTCGTAAACCTGGGTCTGTCCTGGTTTATAGAGGCACTCTTGATCACAAGACTAAAGCGGAAAACCTGCTTTGGCAGCTGTACTGATAAATGCTTCAAAAATGGGACCTCACAAACTGATATAAGATCAGGTCTTTAGTTGCTAGGATGTACCAAAATATTCTAAGATTGAGGCGTCCGAATGTAAAAGTTGAACCCAAATTGATCTATATATCAATCGTTATTCTGATTATTGAAGATGTGTTTATATAAATGACTGTTTAAATGCATAATAACATTCAGATATTAATGAAAAGTTGGTTCTTGTGATTTTATAAGTATAAACATTAAAGGGGTCATATGATGCGATTTCAATTTTTCCTTTCTCTTTGAAGTGTTACAAGCTCTTGGTGCATAAAGAAGATCTGTAAAGTTGCAAAGACTAAAGTCTCAAATCCAAAGAGATATTCTTTATAAAAGTTAAGAGTCACACATACCTAAAACGGCTCGTTCTAATACGCCCCCACATGTCTACGTCACTATCTGGGAAGATTTGCATAACGCCACTGTTATGGTCACATAAAGCTGATACTCTCGTTTCTAGAAATCTAAATGAGAAAGCTGGTTTATATGTGTATTAAACTGAATTTTCTGGACATTCAGAATACCCACCACCCACAGTAAATCTGGGTAATAGTGAGTGATATTTTTTTTACTTTTACTTATTTTTTACAAACATTTGCTATTATTTTACATAAGTCTTAACATTTTGCAGATGAATGAGAATTAATGGGTTGATTAAAGGTTAGATTACTGTTCACAATAACTGATTCAGCATAAAAAGTAAGGAGCTTCTTCGTTATTTCCATTATTTCCACCCCTACATAGGATGGATGGATGATCACGCTGTGACGTATCAATCTTCTTTTAGTCACACTTATTCATGTCATATGAATTTGTTCACCAGACTTGACCTTTGCAACACGACGAACGCTTTCGTTTCCGGTCTCCCACATCTGCATGCTTATAAATGGAAAAGTGTTGTTTGGTTGCGCCTATAGTTTGTTCTTATTACATTTATACAGGAATATTCCAATGGCTGTCGAGCATGTAAATGCCTTTTTAGAATGACAATTTAATCAGAAAATGGCCTTTAATCTGAAAGTAATGTTCACGTAAACGTTGTGGTGCTTACAGCCTTGTTTAGATGAGGATAATAGAACATTTGAAAACCTCTGTTTTAAGTGCAGGCTCAAGAGGAGCTTATTGTTAGGCCGTTCAGTTCATGAGTCATTAGAGGCTGTTTTTTGCAACCTCAAGTTTATCTGGCAACTTTCTCTCTTCCATCCATAGATCCACCATTCTCTATTCCCCATCCGCCACAGGTGTACAGCAGAGATTTAGTCTGGGGTGCTAGATAAAAGAGATCCGCAATCCACTGTGCACCGCTCGGACTCGGCAGGATGGATGATAGGCCAGCTATGTGTGTGTGGGGCTGGTCTTTTTTTGTTCACCGCTGATATGCACGCTGCCCTTTTGCCGCTCACTTTGAAATCTGTTTCTCATTGTACGACCGTTGGCTCAGAAGAAGCTTTTTGTCTAGATAATTAGGTTAACGGCTAGATAATTAGGTTAACGGGAAGAGAGAGGGACCCTCAATCTCTCACCCCAGTAGTCTGCTTCAGTAGGCATGAATAATTTTAGTCATTCCTCCCTGCTTTGTGCTAAACAAATTGTGAATGGTGAGCTTTAAGTGTATTTGCTTTGCTGCTGGAGTGTAAGGCTTGAGTTTATAGCTTGTGTATGCACACGTCTAAAGTGTAATCTCAACTATATATGATTACTGTCCGATTAACTGTAACCCACCCACATTATAGTCACATTATTGAGTCTATTTGTATGTGAAAATCAGACGGGTAAGATTTCAGTTGGGCTGAAGGGATAGTTCACACAAATATGAAAATTCTGTCATCATTTAGTCACCCGCCACTTGTTCCAAACCTTCTTTTGAACCGAAGATATTTTAAAGAATGTTTGACCATTGACTTCCATGGTATTTTTTTTTTCTTCATACTATGGAAGTCAGTGGCTACCATCAGCTATTTGGTTACCAATATTTTTCACGGCATAAGGATACGGTCACAACCTGATAGGACAGCTTCTATGATGTATATTTTATGAACTTGCTGAACATCAAAAACAATGCTGTGTGCTGGGCTAAATGTGCTCATTGAATGTGTGTACATATGGTGGTATTTTTACTAGCTCATAACTCACAAAGAGCTTATAAAATGTGTAAATGCATCAAAACGGTGGCAGGAATTCCTCTGTTGCAAACAGAGATCTGCTGCAAGGAGACGGCGTTTCCAACACCTATTATCAACCTTTTTGCTGCTTTATTAAAGCTAAGTATTATGTAGCATATTATTTACAGTATATTGATTAGCCATGAATCTTTAGTCTGGCTATGTAGTGTCTGTGTGTGTGTGTGGCCTTTTGCAGGGAGCAGGTAAGTACAACAATACAGGCCCTCTTCCGGAAGCTGTTGAATTTAGTCTTATGAGTGATTCTCTCTTTATCGCCTGTTCCAGGCTCAGATTCTGCTCAGACGAAACCGGTAAAATCCATTGAAGATGTGCTATCCGCTCTCACTGTTACAGCTGAGCTGTTCTGCCTACCTCAGCTGCAGAGAAAGCACTTCTGCTTCCGTGTTTATGGCCTTTCCTAAATGCTTCAAGATGGAACTGAACAAATGAGCCGATATCAGGTTTTGGACTGAGTGTTGTTTCTGTTTAAGGGAACAGGTTGCGATACTGAATCTTTAACTAGCCTAGCAATGTGAAACTGCTTCAGCGTGTTTTGAAAGATCAGTGAGGATGATTTTCTATCAGTGATGATGAAAGCTCAGGTTTGCATTTCATTTTAAGCTAGATTCCTCTGCATGTTTCTGGACTGCATTAAATATGGGTGGGGTGCAGAATGTCTGTGTTTTGTTGAGTGGTGAATGGAACAGTTGACGGTAGGGATGCACCGATACCACTTTTTCCAGTACTCGCCCGATACCGATACCAGTATCGGTATCGGTGCATCCCTAGTTGACGGTGTCCTTGGAACCATAAGCATCTCTGAATATCATTTTGAATGCTGTACAACAGTAGAGAGACTGACTCCCACATCTCTTTTGGTCTTGTCCTTGAAGGAAACCAGCAGCTTTGCAGTGGTTTGTGTATGCTCTTTTTTTTTTTTTTTAGTACCGTATCAGGTATTGATGTTAATGTGGTTGAAACTGTATTCATTCTGTGACCGTTCAGGCTCAAATGACTGCTTGTGCAGTGAAAGTGACCTGTGGGTAGAAGTAAACGTGCTGTTTACTCTCTGCTTATGTTTTGCAGTCAAAGCCGAACATGGTCCATGAAAGACTGTTGTGCTTTTGTGAGGAATGCAAACGTGTGTGTGGGTGCGTTTGGCTGAGTTGTTCATACGTAGAACTAGTGCTGGGCGGTATACCGGTTCATACCGAATACCGGTGTTTATTTTTGTTATGATATGAATTTTTATACCGGCGCAATACCGGTGTATGTCGCTTAAACAACGTTCGGAATGCAACACTGTTTG